GGCATATTGCGATGCCATTGCGGCGGCAATGAAGGCTACAACTCAAGTCTCACTATACTACAACGCTGCTTTCATCGCCAGTCTTGACGATCTGAGCAAGCGACTGTCGCAGTCTCCGAAGGATGGATCGTCATCTTGGATCTCGAAGCCTAGCATGGACAAGGTTGGAAGCTCGCTTCTATCCAAGTTCAACAGCTTCATTGCAGGCGACGACGAGGACAACACAGCCAACAAGTCTGGTGGACCGGACGGACCTTTCGCTAAGATCGCTGGTAATAGCCCATCCCTCACGCCCTCACAATCGAGCACGGATCTCTATGGCGCAATGTCTGGCTATGGCGCCCCAACGCAACCACCTGTCCCCGGCAGCTCAAGGTATGCACCATCGAACGCGTACGCGCCAAGGTCGTCTTCGGAGCAGCAACGATCTCGTTATGAGCCTCAAGGTCGACCATCGATGGAATCGAACGACAGCTTCGGCGTGCGAGCAGTATCTGACACCTACACGCCTATGACACCCACGTCAAACGTGTACAGCCCAACTCAAAATCAACTGAGCCCACCGAGTGCACGCACGGCAGCCAAGGCACAGTCGTACTCACCCCTTCGTCCGGAATACAGCCCAGCTCAGCCATCCTTCGGTAGTCCTTATATGCCCACACCACCTATCGGAGAGCCTTCTCTGGCCCCTGCATTTGGTGGCTATCAGCCTCAAGCGAACTCAGATGAGCCGACAGCAAACGAACTCACCTACGATCGATACGGACCTTCGTCATCCACCTTTGAGCCACCTGCGTACCAGCCATACAATCCGGACGAGGATGACAAGGAAGATGACAAGCAGATATCGAAGAAGAAGTCTTTTATGGATCTTGACGACGATGACGACCTCGCTGCCCGCGCCTCGGCCTTGAAGATTAGTGGAGGCAGCAGCTCCAAATCAGACGCAGACAAAAAGGCAGACGAGGCATTCCGCAAAGCCGCCGAAGCAGATGCCCAACGCGACAAGGAAGCCGCAGCAGCAAAGAAGGGAGGAGGATGGCTGTCTGGGTGGTTTAAGAAAGATCCCAACGCCGGTCCTGGTCCTATCAAGGCCAAGCTGGGAGAAGAGAGCAGTTTCTACTACGACACAGATCTTGGCAAGTGGGTAAACAAGAAGGGCGGCGCGGCAGACACGGGTAAGCCCGCTGCAACACCACCACCTCCACGTGCTGGACCTCCCGGCGGCGGAGCTCGAAGTGCCTCAGGTAGCGCCGCACCCACACCGCCTATGGGTCCTCCCGGCGCAGGTGCACTACGTCCACCTACCTCCAACCCCCGCTCGTCGTCGCTGCCGCCGCCAATGGGTGTAGCAGGCTCCCGCGCATCTACACCCGGCATCCCAGAATCGGACGAAGAGGGTTTCGCTGGACCCAAGCCACCTACGCTCGCTAGACCCAGCTTCGGTGCTGCATCCGGACCGCCATCGCGACCGGGCACTGGTATGAGCAATGCTAGTAGTATTGACGATTTGCTCGGCGCACCTCAGGCGAGGAAGGGCCCCGCGGGTAAGAAGAAGAAGGGTGGACGCTATGTCGATGTCATGGCCAAGTAAAAACATTACGGGAAACGATCAAGATATGGAAATGGAGATAGATGACCGTTATCAGGACGCACATGTCAGGGATGAACAGCATGGTTGTCATGAAGGATTCGGGCGCGGCATACAGGTGTTCCTGCATTAGAAGGAGTAAATGCATTAGTCTCGCATCCCGAGCCCATTTCTCGGGTTGACACAATTGTACTATTATATTATCGTCATGTTCTATCTCATCATGCGCACCATCACTTCAGTATCGCAATCGTGATAAACGTGTCGTGTGTCCCACCCCGGGGGGCGGCCCCAGCCTGTCCACTTTCCTCCCTCCACAAAAGATACGAAGAACGGCCTTTTGCTCGGAGCTGTTGCTGGCTGGGCGTTGACCATGTGGCCCACTGGGGGCCGATTGGGCTGGCGGTGGTCGACCCCACAAGAACGGCAAACACACCCGATTACGGAGATGACGCATTGTCCGGCTAGTTGATCGGTGACATGCGCTTTCGCGTGGTCGGTATCGCCAGGGTCTGGCGATGGTTACACGTGCTGCGCGCATGGCTATCGGGCAGGGTGTTCGAAGGAGTCTTATCGTTGTCGCTTACTTGATGTGTGGTGTATGTATGATTGTTGGGTGGGTAGTTTCTCGGTGCCATATCAGCACAGCTAGCCAGCCCTGTCGACGCCTATCTCCCCAACTCCGACTCGTGCTGTGGAGCGAACGATTGCAGCGTCGCATTCGCAGCTCTCCCAGCTCCCAAGACCGCTAGGATTAGTATTAGTCAGTCTAGCCCTTTGGTGGGCTTGAGCCAGCTGCGGGGAATTCGGCGGCGCTCGCGTGGTCATCTTTTTATCTTGGGTTTTCGTGTTCCTTATCCTGTTGACTGATGCTATAGCCCTGCTGCCGCGCTGTTATCGCGGTGTTATTTTGTTCTTATACTGGACGGTTCTGAGGTTGCGACATCACGATACGGTGTTTCTAGGTCGTCGCATTTCCCATCGCAGCGCAAGGAATCGAAGCGCAGTAAGAGTTGGCTTTTCTGAATCGATCGTGGGATACCTGGACAAGGCGAGACAATCATGGCGAAGAGCGTTTCCGTCACCGAAGGCGGAGCAGGAGGAGGACAGGATGCCACACGAAGACAGGCTTCGATCAACGACCCGGGCGCCGACGCTGCCCTGGCGAAAATGGGCTACCAATCTGAACTACCACGGAATCTGAGCATGCTGAGCGTCCTCGGCATGTCGTTTGCCATCATGGCCGTCCCATTCGGTCTCTCAACAACACTCTACATTACGCTCACGGACGGGCAATCGGTGACTGTGCTCTACGGCTGGATCCTCGTCTCACTCATTTCGCTCGCCATCGCCGCGTCCCTCGCTGAGATCTGCGCTGTTTACCCCACAGCCGGCGGCGTGTACTACTGGTCCGCCATGCTCTCCACGCGCGAATGGGCGCCCATCGCGTCGTGGGTAACAGGCTGGTTGACTTTGGTCGGAAACTGGACGGTTACGCTTTCGATCAATTTCTCCGGCGGTCAACTCATCTTATCAGCTATTACGCTTTGGAACGAGGACTTTGTGCCGAATGAATGGCAGACTGTTCTTGCGTTTTGGGCGGTCATGCTGATTTGCATGGCGATTAATATCTTCGGGGCGAAGCATCTCGATCTGATCAATAAGATTTGTATCTATTGGACGGCGACGAGTGTGGTGGTTATCATGGTCGTGTTGTTGACTATGGCGGATACGAAGAGGGATGCGGAGTTTGTGTTTGCGCATTATGATGCTAGTCAGAGTGGATGGTATGTTGTTCCTTTGTGTCTTGACATAGGCTCCAGGACGGTTAGACTAACATTACTGCCAGGCCATCAGGATGGGCTTTCTTCGTCGGTCTCCTGCAAGCTGCATACACACTGACCGGCTACGGCATGGTCGCCGCCATGTGCGAAGAAGTCTCGAACCCGTCGCGCGAAGTCCCCAAAGCCATCGTTCTCTCCGTCGCAGCAGCCGGTGTCACAGGAGTCATCTACCTGATCCCCATTCTCTTCGTCCTCCCCGACGTACAACTCCTCCTCGACGTCGCGAACGGCCAACCCATCGGCCTGCTCTTCAAGACTGTAACCGGCAGTGCAGGCGGCGGCTTCGGCCTCCTCTTCCTTATCCTCGGCATCCTCTTCTTCGCTGGCACAGGCGCTCTGACCGCTGCATCACGCTGCACCTATGCGTTTGCTCGCGACGGCGCCATCCCCGGTTCGCGACTCTGGGCCAAGGTAGACAAACGCTTCGATATCCCCCTCATGGCGCTCGTCCTCTCTACAGTCGTCGACTGCCTCCTCGGCCTCATCTACTTCGGTTCCTCGGCCGCATTCAATTCCTTCACCGGCGTTGCTACGATCTGCCTCTCCACCTCGTACGGCATGCCCATCCTCATCTCCGTGCTGCGCGGCCGCAGAGCAGTCAAACACTCATCCTTCTCGCTCGGCCGCTTCGGCTACGCCATCAACGTCGCTATGATTGCGTGGATCTGTCTCGCTGTCGTGCTCTTCTGTATGCCGGTTAGTCTGCCTGTCGAGCCTGCTACCATGAACTATGCAAGTGTGGTTTTCGCGGGCTTCGCGGCGATTAGTGTGGCGTGGTATTTCATTAGTGGTAGGAAGGAGTTTTCGGGCCCGCCTGTGCCGACGGATGCTGAGCCCGGGGAGGAGACTGTTGTTGCCGGGTTGGCGGTGCAGGATAGTAGGCAGGATATTGAGGGCAAGGGGGATATGGATAAGGGTGTTGAGCACGATAAGGTGTATTGAGTGGGAGATGTGATAGAAGTTTATGTACTTTGAGACTGTTTGGTATTATGCTTTCTATAATCTAGAGCGCACACAATAAGTTGCAATCTGAGCTGCTGTGTCGAGTGAATTCCTTGATGTCGCGTTTAGAAAAACGGTAGATTTCCGCTCTCAGGTGGAGGGTGACGCCACAGGACGCTAAGCCACGGCTAGCGGGGGTACGCGGTTACGCGATCCACGGTTGGTCGCAAAGCACTCAACGCGACAAGCACCATCTCTCCCATGGACGTGTTGCCTGCCGCTGAGACTGATGGAAATGAGGTGAGTGCTTCTCTTAGTAGTGATGTTCTCTTGTCATATCGTGGAATCCCTCATAGTTGCACATGCGGTGCGATAGAGTAAAGGCGTCGACTAACATGTGCAGCGACTGGCGACATTCCATAGTCGACCTCACCTACGATGACGACGATGCGGAAAGCGACGAGGGCCCGCTGTCCTCGTTGCCCTTGGCGACTCCCACACCGACTCACTCACTCACCTCCATGAGCGCGCCCTTGCCTCAACCGCCCTCATCGCGACCACCTCCTCCCACGACACGACCCGCTCCTGCATACGTAAATCCATATCCTCCGCTACCTGGAACCATGCCGAAAGCGACAAATACGGCGAGTATGGGACGCCTTGGCCTGGCGCCCAACACTTACGTGCCGGTTCCAGGCCAGTCGGGCAACGGGGCAAGCGACTCGCGGGCAGCAAAAAGAATCAAGACATCCGACGGCGCCTCCAGATCGTCAACACCACCTGCAAAGAAGCCGACTCCAAGCAGAGGGATACCGCCGGCAGCGCAAGCCGCCACACTGGGCAAGTACAAGCTCAACGCCTGGGCAGCGGAATCCCGTGCGGCAGTACCTCCTCCAAGTGCCACACCGAAGCCCAGCGCTACCAATGCCAACAAAGCTCCGTCCGTCCAAGATATCAATAAGGCGCTCAAGACAAACGGTGCGCCTACACTGAATGGGGTCAGGACGAGCAGCCCACGTGCACTTCATATCGGTCGCCGGCCAGGTAGCAGCTCAGGTCCAGTCAAGCCAGCGCCACCGACACGAGAGACGCCTCGAACGTCACAGGCACCGGCCATTCGACAACATCAATCCCGTGACGCGACTGCGTACAATGGAGCAAGTGCGGGCATGCCAACCAGAGGCCCAGGAAGACCGCGCAGTCGCCCTTCGCCAGGTGCAGGCAACGTCCCATCAAGGCCAAACTACTTCGCGGGCCCTGCGAAGGAGCAGATTCCAGATGAAGATGGAGATAGCGTCATGTCCGATGTCTCGTCCTCAGCAGACTCTGTGCCGCGACAGCCATCGGATAAGACGAAGAGCGGAAATGTCCATCATGGTCTCGGACCAGCAGTCGCTGCATTCCACTCATCCAACCTGCCAAAGGGCGCGCATGTACCTGCACCGCCACCCTCCATCGGACGCAAGAAAACGATGAACCCGTTCGACACTGCACAAGATAATTACCTTATCTTCCTCAAAGAGGTCAAACAGTTCACATGGGCACAAATCACAGCGGAGTACAACACCGACATGCCTTACCGTCCATACGCAGCACTTCAGTCTCGCTACTCGACCTTCCTCAATAAGAGGGACCGATCTCAAGATCCCTCAACGTTGATCTTGCCCCCTCGGTGGGCTGCAGAGGCGGATGTTGACTGGAATGCCATCCGTAGTACCAGCGCTCCATCAAGAGGGCCGAGGAGCAACCTGTCCGCTTCGCAATCTCACCAACCTAAACGCCAGGAGCAGGCAGTGCCCAAACACCTACCAGTTCAACAGACTATCGAACACGACTACTCCTCAGGGGGAGACTCTGCACCTCGGAGAGAGCGATCGCGCCGGACACAGCGAGTCAATTACACTTGGCCGAAGCAGCGGGGTATTCCGGCAGCTGGGGTCGAAGAGGGGTTCATGGAAGACAACTATGAAGCCTTCGCGGACGATTTTGGTCACGCTCGGTCAGAGACGTCTCCAGAGGACGACTTTCCTCTGCCTAGTAAGGCGATCGCCGTCGAGAATGAGCCTGTAGACGTTCATTTCAATGCGGACGATGCTGAAATAGGATTGAGTCTCCGACGTACGAAGTCGCGCAAGGACACGACCAAGAAAGTGCCATATCTCAGCACTTCGCAACGCCTGTCGGTACAAAACCCGCCTGCTGGGGACTGGGACCAGTTGTCTAGTCGCGATTGGCAAGGAACTCTAGTACATGTCGATTTTAGCCCAGACGAGATCGCTTTAGTAGAGAAGGCTATCGCATTGACGAGAAGGATCACACCCACAATATCACGACACCGCACAAAAGGAAGGCAGCTGCGCGAAAACTTGAAGGCTTTTACAGAACCACAGATCCTTCGACTGATCGAAAGCCTCCTTCATCGTTTGCCCTGCCGCGATCGGAGTAGCATTCAAGCCTTTGTACAAGATGCATTAGCCGGCGATGTTGCAGAAGTACCGCAAATACAGAGGCTTGCAGCTGCGCGACCTGAAACAGAGATGCAATCAACCCAGAAGCAATCCACAACATCGATCATCCGTCAACGTGAGCTAGGCCTCCAGTCCAGAAGAGGCTGGCATAGTGCGTCAAATCCGCTTACCTACCAGGTCAAGAACAAGTATATGGACACCATGGGACCGGCAGCTTGCTGGACGGGCGCCTCAAGCGACATCCACACTGTTGCATGGGCGCCGGACGGTGAGCACTTTGCTGCTGGTGCTGTCGCTGTTGACGATCCAGACTCGATGCAATACAATCGACCGAACAACCTCCTCTTCGGTAGTGCCGTGCATGGCACAATCCATGAATTAGCAGAACATTATAAGATCCGCGAGAAGACCGAGACCGGCGCGAACTCAGGCCATGCCATGTTCGCCTCCCAAGACCCAAAGCTTTACACTACAGTCAGCTCGGTAGCGTTTTCGAATACCAGTCCGTATATGTACTCGTCGGGTTACGACGGACATATCGGTATCTGGAGAACAGACTCAGAGGCAACACAGCCAGTGCTAGCTGCGAAGCTCAACGTGAAAGACCAGATCGATATTCTGTCAGTCAACCGTACGAATCCCGGCATGATAGCAACAGCAGCAAAGAACTTCAACGAGAAGGCTATAAGAGTACTCAAGATAGATGAAGCGGAGCCGTGGAACTTCGCAAAGTCGAGCTTTCACTCAAACAAGGCCGTTGCACGCGCAGACCTAAGAATACTCCCTTCCGCCTTGCAGTTCGAGCCCACGTTTGGCGCGCTTCTTCTCGCAGGCTTCGGTGCAAACTTGAAGGAGACAGGACTTGATATGACAGGCGATCTCTGCTTGTGGGATGTTGAAACGCAGACCCCGTACAATATTCACGGCTCTAACAAGAACATTTTCGACGTCACTTTCAACCCAAACCGCTCTAACATGCCATTGTTTGCTGCCGGATGTGTAGCGACAGGTTCCACTGTCAACCGCGGTACCCGCTCGACGATCCGCCTCTACGATGTAAGAGATGACAGTAAGTTCACCTGTCCTATCGAGTTCGAATGTAAAGCTCTGGATATGAACGATGTCATTTGGTGCCCGCATGACGAGCGGCTCATTGCTGCTGGCTGCACAGATGGAAAGGTCTATGTCTGGGATGCGCGTTGGCCAGATGACCCTCTGCGCGTACTCTCTCACGGCAGCTCATTGATGCCTCTCCAAGAGGGAATCAAGCATGAGATTACAGATACCGGCATACGGTTCTTATCGTGGGGTGAGAATGCCACTCGGCTTTACTCTGGTTCATCCGACGGTGTGGTCAAGGTCTGGGATGTTACGCGCGCGGAAGAGAACACATTCATCAAGGATTTGGTCACCACAGATTCCGGTATCATGTCTGCTGCATTTAGTCCGGATTACAGTAAACTTGTCGTTGGAGAAGTGAACGGCTCCATCAACGTACTTGAAGTCGGCAGGGACGATACCTCTATCAAGGATGCAGACAGGCTACGTTATATGCCGTACCAGGACGATGAGCAAGACGACATTCAGGATGAGGCTGGCGATATCACTCGTCTAGCACCCGAGTCCGGTGTTGCTGAAGGCAACTATCTACTGCAAACTCAGCAGCTACAAGTCGCGCCTATGGGAAGTTTACCAATCCGACAAGTTCTCCAAGGTGTGAACTACGCTGGTCCATTCGATAGGGGTATCGATGCGCCATTCCTCCGCGAACAAGCATTGCAGTTCCAGCTCGGTCTTACAACGTCGCGAGGCCCCCAATGCGACATCCCTCCCTGCAAGGACAACCTCAACAAAGTCACGAGCGAGGACGTCGGCGATTCGGGACGAAGCGCAGACCGTATTCCAGATGAACTGCGTCGACAATGGAAGGCTATCGACAATAAAAGCACCATTATACCCGGCAAATCGAAGTGCACGTACTGTGCCCGCCCTGCCCGCCCGTCTACGACAGACAACAGCGACGTTGTCCTATGTGAGCGCTGCTCATTCGCTTGCTTCCGATGTGGTTCCGTCAATCCCATTGCCCCAGCTACCACCACACTCATTTGCGACTCGTGCGCTGGAGTCTGGGACATTGGCGTCCTCGGCTATGATTGCGTTCAGCAGCCGTATGCTCACAACAGGCACATGCAGTTGGATGTCCCAACGTTGAAGAGGTGGGGTGAAGAAGCTTACGCGGACAAGGAGGATGACTTCGATACGAATCACGGCGACGAGATGAATGCGCTGACCAATTACTACCTCTCTTTGGCTATCGACCGGCCGGAGAGTCCGCCGTTGTAGGGGCTGGCATTGAGGAGATTGGCTGTCGGGGAGATTTTGCAGAGGAAGTGCAGATGGATACGTGTACATTACATTATGAAAGCGAAGAGCGAAATGGTGGGAAGAAGCTTCGCGCACATTGAGTAGCGCTGGCGATGAATGATACCCCATGTTACATTACTCGATCAAGTCCTCCTCCTTTTCACACGTGCTAATACCGAATGATGATGGAGCGCATCATCACCAAACAGGGACTATGCGCCTCACTCCCTCATCAGCGACACTAACTCGACTCCAAACGGCGGCTCGTCATGGTTGGCGGCTATGTGGTGTTTTTCTCCCCGCAGAGGAACATGAAGAATTTTTCGGAAGCTTTTGGACTCGGAGAAGAACGCGGAGACATGACTCTAGGCTGGGCTGGTTTTTTTTAGATTACGATTGGCAAGATGGTAATGGGAAATTTCTCGCAAACGAACCAGCAAATGCCGCCCAATGTTGAGAGTTTATTTTGCTGGGACGCTGCGTCTCATGGACTGAGGCGGTCTTGATTTTACGGAGGAAGAGAGGCAGATTCTTCTCCATGCGTTGTGGACATGTGCATTTTGGTATCTATAGAAGAGGAAGGGACGAGATCTTCTCCATGAGATGTATCCTGGTACGATTTTTTGGATATCGGGGAATGGGAAGGCGAGGGATTTTCATCGACAGATCAGCTTTTACTTTCAGGGATTAGGCGAAAGGAGGAGGGAGACGTTCTCCATAACTGCTGCTGAGGTACACTTTTGGTATTAGGGAAAGAGAGGAGGCGAGGTTCTCTCCATGTGGTACTGTATTTCCTATCTTGGTAATGTGGGAAGAAGTGGATGTGGGGAAAGATGGAGAGCGGCAAGACAGCAGAAGCTCTTATAACAACTTTCTCGCTGCGCTGTGCCGAGGCGGTCATATGAGCAAGGTCGTGCCGCTTGAAGTCGACGCAGCGAGCAGCATCCAAATAAGAGCGCGCTTTTTTCGTCCTTTTTTTCGCAGAGGCCCGCTCGCACACATGAGCCTGGATATGCTCAATTTTAGGTCCAGCGTTCATGTCCTTGGCGCTCTTGCGTTTTGAGTACATGAACGAAGAATCCAGAGAATGAGTTCATGTTGGTGTTTTCGAAGGCCCAATTCTCATGACGAACCCGATTACCGTTTTTGGGATACGAGAGTAGAAATCATGAGTAAGGAAGACTATCCCAAAGGACGATTTAAATACGACTCCTAGCCAGCGCATCAGCCGCATCGTCCTTGGCATACGTAACATCCACGCCCTTCATCGCATCCTCCTTCCTCCAATCATTCAAGATCTTGATGAACGCCGGACTACCATAACCAAACGTCGCATTCCTCTTCTCCCTCTCACTATCTTTTCCCTCGTTGTTGTAGTACCCCGGCGTGCACTCCTTCAAGAAGTCACCCCGGATCGCCGTCCCATCAACAATCGTTTTCGTCCATACCTCCTCCGCATCTTGCATCGGCTCCACAGTCCTGATGCCCCGCTTCTTGCACTCCGAGATGATGTACGCATAATGAATCGCCTGCTCGTTAGTGACGTGCATGAAATTCGGCGTAAGAGCCGCTTGCACGATCTGGACGAAGAGGCAGTTGGGAAAGTTGCGCGTTCCCCATGCATGCAGTGTCTGTGCACCATCAGCCCACTTCTCGGTTATGGTCTGATTGTCGCGGCCGTAGATCTCGATGCCGGTTTTGTGCGACCATTCGTTTGCGAGCTCGAAACCAGTGGCGTAGATGAGGCAGTCGAGTTCGTATTCTTGGCCGTTGGCTACGACGCCGGTGGGGGTGAGGTGGTCAACACCTTTGCCTTTCGTATCGACGAGCGTGACGTTAGGGCGGTTGAACGTCGGTAGATACTCATCGTGGAAGCAGGGGCGCTTGCAGAATTGGTTGTACCATGGTTTCAGAGCGTCGGCTGTTTCTTTGTCTTTCACAATCTCGTCGGTTCGATCGCGGATAGCGTTCATCTTCTTGAAGTCTGCGATTTGTCGCTTAGCTGCAGCTTCGACGGGGTTGTTTGGGTCGATGCCGGCGGTGATTAGAGACCGGATGATGTCTGTCCATCGATCGGATACCATGTCTTCTTTCTCGTAGCCGCCGTTGACGATGTTGTCAAAGTTGTCCATGCGCTTCTTCTGCCATCCTTTCTGGAGCGATTGTGCCCATGCCTCGTCCGTCGGGCGATTGCCACGAACGTCGATCGAAGAGGGCGTACGTTGGAAGACGTAGAGCTGCTTTGCCCACTCACCCAGATGAGGCACAATCTGAACGGCTGTCGCGCCTGTACCGATGATACCCACACGCTTGTCTTTGAGTTTGAGCAGGTTCCCCGATGGGTCGCCGCCCGTGTAGGCATAGTCCCAGCGCGAGGAGTGGAATGAATGGCCTTTGAAGTCTTCAATGCCTTTCAAGCCGGGAAACTTGGGTCGATGAAGAGGACCAGCGGCGGGGATCACGAATCGTGACTTGATCTTGTCGCCGCGCGCTGTGTGCGTAGTCCATTTTCCTTCTTCTTCGTTCCATCGCATCTCTTTACTTTCGGTCTGGAAGAGAGCTCGCGAGTAAAGGTCGTATTTTTCGCCAATCATACGTGAGTGTCTGAGAAGCTCTTTGGCACGAGCATACTTCTCCGTAGGCATGTATCCGACTTCTTCTAGCAGGGGCATGTAGATGTAGGATTCGATGTCGCATTGCGCCCCGGGATACCTATTCCAATACCTCCCTCGCTGTTAGTAAATGGATCGCATGCTGTTCAACAAAACATACCATGTTCCACCAAAGTCCCCAGCCTTCTCGATGATCCTAAAGTCTGTGATGCCAGCCTCAATCAACCGCACGGCGCAGACCTGAGCACCGTAACCACCACCGATGATTACCACCTCCGTCTCTTCTTCAATAGGCTCGCGCTGAAACCCCGGCTCGACCCAAGGATCGTCCAAGTAGTGTGATAAGCTGCCATCGAGGAGTATATATTGCTCTACACCTTCGTCTCGTGCTAAACGTCGATCACGCTCTTGAAGGTATTTTGCTTGGAGCGCTGCCGGGTCAAAAGGCAGCTCGTCTTTGTTTGCTATCTCTCCGGTCTTGATATCGACAGTAGACTTGGGAGCCTCTGCCTCGGTAAGAGGTACCTCATCTATCGGAGCTGCTGCGATCGGACCTTCCGTCGTCATTTTGCGTTTAGGTGGAGGAAATTCGATGCTGTCACTTTAGTCCAGGTTTTGGGTTTGCTTAAGGAGCCCAGTACATCAACAATCGTATGGTAGACGTCGAAAGAAATACAGGTCGATGTAGCCGCGGCAACCCCTCTCGCAACAGCTTCCCCACTCCACCATCGCTTCAGTAGGCTCGCAACGAGACTGATTATCTGCCCGCGGATGCAAGTTGCCCCGTCTGCTGATACTACTAATCATATGCATGTCGAGCGAATGCAGCCACCAGCCATGTTGAGTGTTACTGCTAGCCCGAATGGTAAGGGGCGTTTTAGAAGACAAAGGTTCGGGGTAGATTTGTTCGTTCGGTGCAGATGTGGGGTAACTGGAGACTGATCTGCGGTCGTCGACTAAGCTCAGTCGAGTCGTAACAGGCATCAGGTACCGCAGTATCGGGTAATGTTTCGAAGTTCGATGACAAGACCGAGTTGAAGAGTATCTGGTGAAGCGCATCGGTATTCGTCTTCCTCCGCGCCCCTGACGCGCGGCTCTGTCACCCGGTTGGCGCATACAGAAGATCTAGACTCGAACCACCTACTCCTCCCCAAAAGCTTACACTGTATCGTACGTTTATCCGCAACCATACTCACTCGATGAAACATCACCATAATGGGGGCTGAGATGAAGTTGGGCACGAAAATGCATGACGTGGTCTTCGCGCTAACGGACTCGCTTATCCCCATGACCATGGCCTGGCAGCAGCCCCGGAGCGCACCACCTGGCACAACTCGGCCAAAATCAAATGTGCAACTCGTATCGTGCGACGCGTCCCCGCCACGAATGCGACAGGCACAGCCCTGGTATCAGTAAGCGCCCGTTACCACGACAAACGATACAGAGCCGACGTTAAGATATACCGCCATCTCAATCATCACGATGAACGATGCACAGAGCAAATGTGTCAGTCAAGAGTTCGTAGAAGCGTAACGTGTTTCATTGAATCATCCAAAGTCGTAACCAAATCGTAACCCAAGGTATATCCCATATCCCATCCCTAGTTTATGTATAAAGAACGTAAGAAGTAATCATAAAAAGAGCTGGAGAAGTAATTGTAAAGTGCGCGGCACCAGGGCTATCTAAGCCTCGCCGTTGATCTGCATGCGTCCAGCAACGCTTCTCTTGATCTGTTCCTCGCCAGAGCAGACCTTCATGTACAGGTCGGGGCTGGTGCCCAGGGTCTTGGGGCACATGAAGACGGGCTCGGCGATCTGAAGCTTCTTCAAGGGCTGGTCGACGTAGTAGATCTGCGAAGGGCAGTATGTTCCAGCTTCGCAGTCGATCTTGCCGCAGCTGTCGTCGCTGGCATCCATGGCGAGGCCCTCGTCGTGGCCAGGGCAGTTGGACGCAGACTCGCCCTCGGCGCAGTCCACGAAAGAGATGTCGTACCAGAGCTGACCGGCGGCGATGGAGTATTCGAATTGCGTGTGGTGGCCAGCGAGGAGGTTCTCAGTCTTGCTGACCTTCATGGAAGTACTGGTACCAGTGTAGGGCTCGCTGTGAGTGGTGCGCGAAGGGATGCGGACCGCTGTGGGCACACCGTATCCGGTAGAGATCGACCAGACCCAGATGTCGTAGCTGCAGCGGTTGGCGATGATGGCGTTGCCAGCAAGGGCAAGGCTAGCCTGGAGTGCCACGATGGCGAAGGTGAATTTTGAAAGCATGTTGTTAATTGAGAGGGTCTGTAACGGTGTTGTTTGAAGACGTTCTTTGTTGGCGACACAAGGGAGTGTGGCGAAGTTTCTTTATAGAGACTGTGTGTTGTTGATGGAGTGATGAATGAGTGGAGGTCCAGACCGTCAATTGAACAAGAGAGGGAAGTTTGGAAAGAATGTGATAAAGCTGTCGAAGCTTGACTGTGATGTGACAAGGAGTGTGTGTAGATCAAGAACAAAAGAGGGTGAACGTCGACTTTAAACACATGGGAGTTCAAAGTGGGCCCACGGCGTAGTCCAGCTCTTTATCATACCTACATCCGTTACCGAACAAGTATGGGCCCCCAAGGCTCAACAGGCCTGTCAGGCACACCAATCATACACTGAGACATTCAGGGCAGAACAAAGCGTCTCCGAGTCATCCGGCGGTAACTGCAGATTTTTCGTCCCGCAGAGGTGTTTTCAGCGCTGTCTGTGGAGACGGGGGTATGGGTTCTGGTTGGTCGGATTGCCTAATTGGGCGGCGCATACCTCAGCGCCCTGAATATGATGTAAGGAACTGTCTAGGCTCGTATGGAACACAGTTTCGGTCGTTGCTTTTTCTTTAGCCGATCCTGAAAGATAGGTGCCTTGGTCTACACTTCCAAGGCTTTGTTGCTGCGAACAGCTACTCCACTCCAAGGTACGCCCTTCGCGAGGGTCAATCAGAATGTAGCGTGGCTATACTCACACGAATAATAACCATCAGTGGCGTTTTTTGTTATCTAGCATACTCACAGAGACGCAGTCATCTAGACGAATGCGGGTGGAGCTTGGAATAGTCTATGGGAATGCAAGGCACGGCGGATGCGCACCAATCGGTGAACGGCTAATAAGCAGACAGCGACGTGGTGAAGCCGAAAGCTAGTAGTGAAGTCGCATAGGCTAGAACGTCTTAGTGTAGGATCATGGAGTAAGATGACGATTGATCGATCGAGCACCCAATCCACCCGCATGGAAGAAGAAGCAGACTATGTGAACACTCAGGCTGGGAATATGTGAACGCGTGTATGTGAAGCCGCATACGACGCTCAACATGAGAACGCCCAATGTTTCGCGCTCGACATGGCGGCGGGCCAGGTTCAATTTCATTCGTCACCCGAGCAAGGTGTGAAGGCCTCCATGGACGTTCTTTGTGATTGCCGCCAAGCCGCCATCTGGATCAGGCATCGCCTACGTTTTTGAGTTCGGGAGGCAAGAAGTGATCTCCCGTCTTCCCATGACTTCATCCTGTTTAGGTGACATGTCACTTTGCTTCTGCCTTATCTGACCCAGGTGCTTTTGGATTTGCTCGCTAAATCCTGATGTTTGTGCCAGCTTGGTGGAAAAGTACAGCAAGCTGCATGAGCTGTCAGATGACGTCGTGACCGCCATCCATGGAGACACCGGACCGCCGACGTGTCTGCTGGAAGACTAACCGGCCGAGACAGTTGGCAGGCAGAGGTTTTCGTGGCTCACACGTGTTTCGTTCGCGCTACTGCAGGATTTTCGCGGTTGAGGCAGTTCTCCGCCGGGGCTACGGGCTGCATGTGAAAATCGGCGCGATGGTACCTGACGGTTAGTCCGGCACACCGGGATGAAGGATCTTCTTCAACAGCCGGGTTGACAGGAGCCACGACGACGTCCCGGTGACCTAGAGCAGCGAGTTCTGCTGACGTCCAGGTCGTCGGCACGCTCGCGCCACTCCGGCCAGCTATCTAATCGATAGCAGATAGGAAGATTGCCGACCTCCACGTTTCAGGCACGAAGGAGTTCGACGATCAACGGCGCATGCGTCAGCATCGTGCATACGCGCGAGAGAACACCTTGCAGGGCTGGCCCTATCAGGCGCGGCGACGGAGGGCGCGTTGCGACTGGGCTAAAAAGTGTGTGGATGAAGAGTTCGACTAGCATGCAGTCGAAAGCCGAAAAGAAACCACGTACCGCACTCGGAGTACAGCCGACAGCGGGGCGACAGCCACCTCAAAACCTGATGACGGGCCGGGTATACCAAACGCCGTTGATGCTGTGGGTCTGCGGCAGTATTCAACGAAGACAAACCTGAGCCGCCTCCGCGAAATTGCACGGTGGCCACGCAAGACGGCTGCTTGCCGCCAGCACACGGCGACACATCATGACAAACGGCGAGCGCGTCCAGACCAAAATCGACGTTTCACTTAATCGCGAGGCCTGAGGCACGGCAGGCCTTCGGTGCTTCATCTTGAGTGAGATGAGGTTGAAAGAAACAATCTGGTGCCGCAACGGGTCGAAGATTAAACAGTGCTGGGTCACCTTGCTACAACCCCTCATTATCACTACCATTAATTTTACGACATCCTAGCTGTGTCGCGTGCTTGGGTCGAGAGATGACGTTGAATTTTGATCTCGGCTCCTGGCTGATTACCTGGTGGGCGGCTCGGGCACAGTCCTTGGAGGGTCGCTGACCATGCGGTGTACCGGATCCACGTCAAGAGACGAGATCTCGTCGCTGTCCCAGTGCGCTAACACGTGGCGACCGTCCACGCGGAAGATCGATGGCAGATGGTGACACTGGAGGTGGAGCCAAGTCGAGTGTCATGAAGCGCCACTGACTCTGGCAGTTATCGTCACATCCACACGATCGCCTGCAACGGCGGAAGGATGCTGCGACAACGGGCGGCAGTCAGGCTTCCCCTCTACTTCTACCTTGTTGGGCGGCGCGATAGAAACGGGATCTCCAAATATCCCACGATTCGCTGTTTCACGATGACCTCTCCCGTCCGAGTAGAAATCCTTCGTCGGCTCCACTCTGCGAACGGCCTTCTAGAGTCTCGACTCTTCCCTCGGACAGCGATGAAGGCCGCACGGACTCGTGAATCGCTCGCCATGTGCGATACGAGCGAAAGGGCCAAGCAGATGCTGTGGCACAAGAGCTGAAACCAAGGCGGACTGTAGTTGTGCAACTATTCGGACTACCTTTCACAAGAGGTTTCTCACAGAGCCGGGTCAGACCAAGCTGTACCCTGGGCTAACAAAAACATCTGAAACCGTACCTGGTCCGAACGATTATAACAGCCAATGGGACAGCGGCGCACTTCGAGATATCTCTACGTTTTGCCGCTCTCGACTTAGCTCTCCGCTTAATTTTCCGAAGTGGGCGTTTGATGAGCTGTCCCTTGCGCAAGCCCAATGATCGTCTGTGTTTACCCCTGACGCTTGTCACATCTGGACCGTACCAACGAAATCCGAGTCGAAGCGCCAGAGTGCACGACAATCAACGACGGATAGACAAACAAAGCTTTATTGATTGCCGCGCACAATCGCAGTGAAGCACAAAGGGTTTGGAAGGGATATAACCACGGAGACATTCATTATATGCGATCCGACAGCAACCAATGCGAATACGTAGGGCTGCAGACTCCAAAACCTGGCCTACGGTGACTGTCACTGAGCAAGAGACGAAATGAAAGGATGCAAGCGGTTTACCAAGGGCTTGGTTGGGACGAGGATTGCGCTTGAGAGCCTCTAGCTCCAGGCACAGGTAAATCTGCGGAGGACGGGGCCGTGGGCGGAAATGTGATGGCGCTCGCGTTTAATTTCCTGGCCCATGTCAGCTGCACAACGCCCGTTTCCTGCTTAGCGTCAAGTTGTATAAATGTAGTTTATCCCCTCTGCCTTCCTCTACTACCCCAGGTCTGCGACTTCCAGGTTCGACATCCAGTCATTCACTCCCTACACAGTCAATCTTTGACACCACGTTCTCTACCGCCCTTCGGCACAAACACGCTCACTTCGCATCTGTAACCAAAAAAACAATTCGACCGTCGAACCTTACCTGTCAACTCAAGTCCAGCTCCTATCCTTTACTAAATCAACCAACACGAAATCAATCAACATGCGCTACTCGACCGCCTTCTCCGCCGCCATTCTGGCCGGCTCTGCGCTCGCCGCTCCCTCCTACGGTGGTTACGGCAGCCAGCACAAGCACGTCAAGAACGTCCATGTCGTCGTTGAGACTGTCGTCAAGACTGTCTACGTCACCGAGGGCTACGAGATCCCCAAGCCTACCAGCTCCTCCGTCAGCGCTGCGTACGAGGCCCCTGCCAAGAACACCATGCCCGCCTACGCTCCCGTCAAGCCCACCAGCACTGCCGTCTACGCTCCTCCCCCTCCCCCTGCGCCCACCAGCGAGGCGCCCAAGCCCACCACCACCATGGTCTACCAGCCCGCTCCCCAGAAGCCCACCACCTACGACGCTCCCCCTCCCCCTGCTCCCACTAGCGAGGCTCCCAAGCCAACCACCACCCCCGCTGCTCCCGCTCCCGCTCCTTCCAGCGGTGGATACATGGGCATTGTTGAGGAGGCGCGTGCCAAGCTCGGCATGAAGTCTCTCGAGTGCGACTCCAAGCTCGAGTCCAACGCCATGAACGTCGTTGTTGAGGGCAACGGTGTTATGAAGCACAAGCTCAACCCCGGCACTTACGGCCAGGTTCTTGCCCCCGGCAAGCCCGACATGGAGTCCTTCGACCACGTCTTCTACGGTGGATGGCTCTGCGAGATCCCCAGCCTGCCCGGTCTTGAGGATGTCTGCGGCAGCGCGTCCAAGGGCTGGAACTACGAGGGTCAGACCGGCCACGCTGAGATCCTCACTTCCGACCAGTACACCAAGATTGGTTGTGCTAACCACGAGGGTATCTGGTGCTGCGACCTTGCATAAGCAAGCCACAACACATGTCATGAGGGTGTATGGGGGTTACAATTCTTCTACTGTAGATGACAGGGCGGCTTGGAGATCAAACTCGCGACGCGTGCTTTCGCGCTGGTTGGAAACATATTCTTTTCTTCTGTATCTTACGGTACCAAACCTCTTTATTTTCCCTGCTCATTTTTTAGGGGAGCGCCTCTTTACTCTGTTGCCAAATCACAGATCCACGAATTCATGACCCGAATCCCTTGCCTTTCTGTTTTGCCCATGTGACAACGCTGAACGAACAATTGCCTATCACTCCCACCCTGCGACGATCACCCTTAAAACGACTACTAACAATAAAATCCGCCAGCGATCTTCGCTTCTTTGACACGCCTCGTACCTGAACACGAGCTGAGCGAGCGCACGGCAGCCAAAGAAAGAAGGTGACAGACGCGAGCCAGCACGAACCCGGGCGGCTGCGGAGATGACCCCGTAAGCACTCAGGGCTCAGGCACACTTCGTGTTCTGTGCCTGCCAAGGGGGCGTGGCGCGTTCTTGGGCGGCTTTGCCAGACTGCCGCGCCGCTTCGTCACTCAACCACAGAAGGCAGTGTGTGCCCCCAAATCCCAATAGCTGCACCCAGCCCCCTTGCAACAAAGAACGTTCAACTAAGTATCGAGTGGCTCGCGCCATGGCATCTGGCGCTCAGGAGCTGTGGCGATAGAGTTTGCCTGTCGCTTCAAAGTGTGGTTTGTCAGGAGACTGGCGTCGCCCGAAAACCAGGTCGCGCATCTCACAAACCATTGAAACCAAAACGAAGAAACAATCGTGTTCAACACCATGCGTCGCACGAGCAACGCTGCAATGCTACAACGCTGACGGACTTGCGACATGGGGCCTTTTGCGCGCGCGCAGGCCGGGTGTCGGCTTCCCCCCAGCTTGGCTTCGCCTGGCCCAACACTGGCCCGCTGCCCATCGGTAAACTGGGTCGCCCACTCGGTACAGGGATCAAAAACTGTCGTCACTTGCACATCGTTATTTCGTGAATCGGGGTGGGGATACTGATACCGTTGGCTTCGGCGATGTAGTCGGTGATTTGGCATGGCGATCGCGCGTGGTCTAGAGGTGGCTGGACTTTTGCTTGACAATTGAGGCGTGCCGGTGGTTCATTGCGCGGGGTGCCTCGACTGCGCCCGTTGGCTGTTTCCTCAAGAAGGGCTTCCCGACCATGGCGGTGCATGGGGGTACGTAAGTTGGGTGACGAGCGACGACTGCGCAATCGAAGACGGGCTGTAACGAGTATTCAGCCCGATATCGTTCCCGTGTGGTGTTGAGATTGCGTAAGTCGTTGTGAGTCTGCCGTTTCCAGGCAAACCTTGAGGACCTTGAGGAGACCCGAAGACTATGGAATGCGACCATTGCATCGCATCGACGTAGCTTTTGGTATATTGTTTATCGCATTGCCAACAAGAAGATAGTCAATGTAAACAGTTCCTTACGCAAAGGTACCACTACTGCCGCCGACTCCTTCAGCCGAAACTAAACCCAGCATCGCGCAAACGCACGCAGGCTATTTCTCTGTATGTCCGTAGCGCGACGGGCAATGTCCCCACGAGTTCCTAGGAAATTGCCTTCGGCACAGGACGGTTCTTGGAGATGAGGAAGAAGCTCGAACCAGCCCGTCATATCGCGCGTGCATGCCGTTCTCACGCAGAACTACGATTTGTCGAAAGCAGGCTCGATCAGCTCCATAATCACACGAATTGATGTGGGAGATCACGACGAGAGACGCTTGCTTTGCGACGTGTACGACCTATCAAATCCACTGCGTGTAACTATGCTTCACATCGTATCGGAACAAAGTCTGCGTCTCGATCCGAGGCTATTATCTATCCTTGACGACGGTGATTGTGGATTCCGCACGCAAACATCGCCTAGTCGGTGATGCACAGAAGAAGGTCGTTCATGATCGTTCAATAGTTGCCTTGTGGTGCGCTGAAGGACTAAGTAAGGATGTGCAGTTGTAGAATTTACTCGGTTGTATTGCTTTCCGCTTCCATCGTTATCTGCTCCTATATGTACTCATGCGGTCACTTAGCTTTACTTAGCCCAAGGCCTGATACTTCGATATGAGAATGATGCCAGCATTTGTCAGAGGTGAATCGAGTTGCTAGTGCTAAATGTGCTTGCCGTAGTTGAATAAGTCTGCTGTAGTTAAATAAGTCTGCTGTAGTTAAATAAGTTTACTGTAGTTAAATAAGTCTACTATAGTTAAATAAGTCTACTATAGTTAAATAAGTCTACTATAGTTAAATAAGTCTACTATAGTTAAATAAGTCTACTATAGTTAAATAAGTCTACTATAATTAAATTAGTCTGCTGTAGTTAAATTACTTCGCTAGTGCTAAATGTGCTTGCCGTGGTTAAAAAGCACTTGCCGATGCTGTATGAGTTTGCCGGTGTTGAAAGCACTTTCCAGTACTGGGTACAGTCGTCGGTGCTGAATGCACTTGCCGTAGTTGAATCAGTTCTGTCGGGGTTGATTACACCTGCCGGTGCTGGAACAATTTGCCGGGCCTGGATGAGGGGTCATCAAAGTGCCGGTATGGTAAGAGTGCCGGTATGGTAAAGAGTGCCGGTATGAGAAGACATTGCCGATGCGGGAAAAAAGTGCCGCTATGGTAAAGATGCCGGGCGCGAAGACGTTTGCCGGTGCTCAATACCTCTGCCGGTAGTAATGGAATTGCCGGTGTGGAAACATGTGCCGGGCGTGAATAGACATTGTAGGGCGTGAAGAATGCCGGTATACAAAGATCTTGCCGGGCGTGGAAGACGATATTAGGCGTATAGGTTTGCCGTGCGTGAATCTTTCCTCGAACTCAGATATGCCGGTATCGTAGAGCGTTGGCAGTGAATATACGATACTGGATGATTTGTTGGAAGTGAATAAGATGTCAGCCAGGGAGATATCCCTGTTCAGATGATTTCCGATTCAGATACATACTGGCATGCACCTCTGCCGATGCTCACCATCCCGAGTAGAGCGCCAGCAAATCATGCTTCCTTACTCCACAGTCCCCTAGTTCTTCCTAGAACCAAACGGGCGATCATGGTTCTATGACGTTTGGTCGACATGTTGCCGACAACGCCGACGCACATGTTGAGCTCCACCACACCTTCCATCAAAAGTGGAAAGGCTGCCCCGCTCGATCACTCCTGGAACGACTTGTGCATATGCAGACAACCCTAAGCCATACATTCTCCCACATACCATGACCATACATAGACCAAATAGTGTTCGTTCATCATTACCAAACAAAAAACCTCCCTTGTACCAACGCCTCTTTTCGCCCAAACTACCACCATGAACGCCATGCTTAGTTCACGAACCTGATACTCAGAACGCTAACGTAAGAGGTATAAATCGCTCAATAACGCCCCACCGACACCTCCCCCACAAAACTCGGAAGCAGCTCGCCATCTTCTGGCGGGGTATCTGGTGCTAGTCCTGCTTGTGTACTCGCTCGTCGTCCCATCAGACTGCCAGCAACGCTGACACTTCCACTCCTTCCGCCGTCGAACCTCATCCTCTTGCTCCCTCTATCCATGCCTTCGAGCTCCTCTCTCAAATTTCCTACTTCTTCCTCCTTCTCTTTCCATAGTGTCAGCACTGCTTGCCTCTCCTCGTGTAGTCTCGTCTCCTCGGCTTCTTTTTCTTTCTTGATGACGTCCAGTACGGCGTCTCTGCCGGCCTTTGCTGCAGCCTCGTCTTGCATGCTCGTGCCCGTCGAGCAGCCTATAGCCCCGAGTATGTCGCCCGCTGCTGACAAGATAGGTACACCACCGCCCAGCGTAGTGAAGCGTCCCATGATTGTGTTGCCAATGCCCGAGGTTGCGCTGCCTGGCCAGGGTGTTTCTTGGTATGCGGAGGTCGGGATGCGATTGCCAGCGGCAGTGAAGGCCATGTCCATGGCGGTGTTGATGGACGTTATTTTCGCCGAGTCCATGCGCGTGAAGGCTAAAAGGTGTGTGTGCGCGTCAACTACGGCGATGCTCCTGTTGTTGTGTTAGCATGGTTGGTCCCATCCTGCTGCATTCAATGCGTCTGGGAGGGGAACTCTTACATCGGAACACCGACTTCGATCGCATGCTGCTCCGCGGCTTGTAGAGCGACTCGTGCTCCACTTTGCGTCAATGTGGGTACGGCAGCGGTTGCTGATGCTGTTGGTGACATGTTGAAGTACGTATGTCGCAGTAACATGGAAAGTAGAGAGAGAGTACAGAGACAGGTCGTAATACAGGCAACGGAATTAGCCGCGGTCGCGTGCCCACGATTTAGCACAATCCTGATGCTCGGGTATGCGGAAGACTACAGCGGATCCGACGTTCTTTTAGGCAGGCGGCTCTTCGAAAGATGGGGACAAGTCGCCTTTAAGATAAGCAGTCAGCTGAAACGATGCCAAAGTCTCCTCCATTACAGCCTGTTGCGTGCTGCGTGGATATACCAGACCGAAGTGGAGTAAAACGGCGACAAGGTCTCATCTACCCCAGATCAAGGGTCCCAGAGACCCGTGCTTCCGGTGTAATAGCTGAGACTTGTGAATTTTGTTCGAAGCGGGCACGTGTGCCGTAGTGGAGCATCTTTTGTGGGCGGGTTAAGATGCCCAAATTAGGAAACCCATTTGCGATCTGGGCTGCAAACTGGATACTCAAGCCCAATGACCATGTCAATGGCATAAGATGTTGTGATCAGTGCTCCTGGGGCAGAAGAAATATCGTACGAGTCGATTGAGCTGTGCGACCAGGAAGTTGAGGCACGAAGGGAGGCTGTTCAGGCGGTGTAGAGGCTGAGGAGGTGCCGATCCATGTTCAGGTGGGAGCCGGGAAACACCCCTTCATCACGACTGTATGGCTATCGTATGTAGAACAACCACTACGCGTGATGCTTATCGTGCTGTAGGATGCTGTGTGCTGTACCGCTGCCGTCTTCAGTGTGGTGTTCAGAATGCCGTTCGCGAGGCGGGCAC